GACATCATGCTTGGGAGGGTGGAGGGACGGCGCAAGAGGGGAAGACCCTTTATGAGATGGATTGATTCAGTGACTGGGGTAATCGGGATGTGTGTGTCAGAGGCAGTGCGATTGGCACAGGATAGAGCAGGGTTTAGGGCTGTTGTACATAGGGTCGCTATGAGTCACAAATGACTTGATAGCACATAACAACAGCAACAACAACAGTGATAAAGAGAATACAGAACTGGAGCTTAGAAAAATAATAGTCTTCACAATAGCTAATCACAAGATTAAATATTTGGGAGTAAATCTAACCAGAAGCATGAAGGATCTATTCAAAGAAAATGATATAACATTACTATAAGAAACAAAAAAAGACAGACTGGGGAAAAATATTTGGTAATCACATGTCAGATAAGGGACTTATATTTAGAATTTATAAAATACTTGAGCACTACAACAATATAAAGGTAAATAACCCAATTGAAAAATGAGCACAGAATATGAACAGACATTTCACCAAAGAAAAGACATTCAAATGGCCAACAAACACATGAAGAAATGTTCAAAATCCCTAGTTCTAAGAGAGATGCAAATAGAAAGAACTATGACAAATAATCTCATCCCAGTAAGAATAGCAAAATTTAACAGAACAGCAAACATCAATTGCTGGCGAGGTTGTGGATAAACTGGAACACTTATTCACTGTTGGTGGGAGTGTAAAATGGTGCAACCACTATGGACGGCTGTATGACACTTTCTCAGAAAGTTGCAAATAGAAATAACATTTGACCCAGCAATTACACTACTGGGCATATATCCTAAATAAACCAAAGCTGCCATCCAAGCAGATATATGCACACCTATGTTTACTGTGGCTTTGTTCACAATAGCAAAAAGCTGGAAACAACCCAAGTGTCCATCAACAAACTAATGGATAGAGAAGCTTTGGTATATTCACACAATGGAATACTATGCAGCATTGAAAAACAAGGAACTCATTAAATACTATATGAAATGGGTGACCCTGGAGGACATTATGCTGACTGAAATATCTCAATCATAAAAGGATAAATGCTGCATAGTGCCACTGTTGTAAAACAGGACCGACATGGGGGTTGAGGGAAGACAGAGAAGATGGAGATGAATGATGTATACTGCATTGAAACAGATGAGGGAGAGAACTGTTTAAAAGGGATATATGGTTCGGTATTATTGTCATGACAGGAGTCCAAAATGAAGGCTGCATAGTGGAGTGGACCTGGGGGGAAGGATTGTACAACAATAAATCATTTTTCTTTTACTTTTCAAAGAGAAGTGTGAACTTGGGGGGTAGGGGTGGTCAGGGAGAAAAGTGCAACAATGAATGAATGGAAATCCAAAGTCTCTGTAAACTTTCATTAAAATTAATAAAAAAATAAAGGGAAAAATTTAACACTTAAAAAACCAAAAAAAATGATAACAGCGGGTAGACTTTAAACACTTGAATTTTAATTAACACAACACTTTTCCTAGCAGTTGTTAAGTGCCATCAAGTCGCCGGCAACTTATAGAGACCCTGTGTACAACAGCCCTAAACCCTGCTCTAGCCTTTGCCAATCTCACCATCTCCGACACACCTACCCCCATTACCCTAGTCACTGAATCAATCCACCTCATAGAGGGTCTTCCTCTCCTGCTCTGTCCCTCCACCCTCCCAAGCATGACGTCCTTCTCCAAGGACTGGTCCCTCCTTGCAACATGTCCGAAGTATATCAGACGAAGCTTCAGAATCCTTCCCTCCAAGGAGCAGCATGATTTAACCCTCGCTAGGATGAACCTATTCATTTAGTTAGCAGTCCATGGTATATTCAATACTCTTCTCCAACACCACAACTCAAATGCATCAATTCTTCTTCTTTCCTCCCTAGTCATTGTCCATCTCTCTGGTGCATAACAGGTGATTGCAAAGACCATGGCCTGTATCAGGCACACCTTAGTTTTCAGATTGATACCATTGTTCTTCAGTACTTTGGAGAGGTCCCTAACAGCAGACTTTCCTATCACAATATGTCTTTTAATTTCCTGACTGCTGGTGCCAAGAGTGTTGACTGTGGAGGCAAGCAAACTAAAGCTGTGTACAATCTCAATCTCTTCACCATCCATCCTGATGCTGCCAATTGGCCCAGGGGTGAGAATCTTTGTCTTCTTGACATTGAGCCTCAATCCATATTTAAGGCTGCAGTCCTTGACCTTCCTCAGCAAGCACTTCAGGACCTCTTCAGTTTTAGCAAGCAGGGTTGTGTTATCTGCGTAACACAGATTGTTGATGAATCTTCCGAGTATTCTCTAAAAAGCGCAGAGGCTGGGGCTCTTTGCATTGTGTAAACCCAGTCTCTCTCCACAATTTTATCGTTTCACAAGAGATATCTGCTTTAAAAATTAACCTCCAGATTACTAGGTAGGAGATTTTAGGCACAGATTCCAATACATACGAGGCCTATGGAGTGTTTTAACAAGGAGAAGAAGCCCAAAGCTGGCACACAGTATATGCATGACTGGATGGTGTGTAGATATACTCAAGTGGGAAGTCTTACCCCTTCCCTGCACTGCCCTACTCCCTTTTCTGTTTTGCTGGTCCTAAAACCATTAAATCATAGTGTGAGTCACATCCTTGATTGACATCGGTTGTCAACAAACTTTGTAATGTGTTATTGAGAGAATGTTTTTAAAATATTAAGTATCATCAGGTAAATATAGTTTATGGTGAAATATTTACGAACCTGTGGCTTTTGAATATTGGCATTTGGGGAAGATGCTTAAAACACTTTTTTCTTAGACAAATATTACTACTACATGCAAACTTATAAAAAGTAAATTTTGCTATATTTGAAACAATAATACCTACTAAAGATGTTTCATCAATAAAGAAAGAATTCATTTGCTGACTTAACTGAGTTTTTAGGAATACAGCTCTATAATTAAGCAATAGTTGAGATTCCAAGTTTCATTTGGCCAGAACGAGTGTAACAAGTATTTCCAGATTAAATATCTCTATACCAGAATGTCTCTTTACAAATATTTATGGGAAGTAGGATGGCTTATAAAATTTCCAAATTAAAATACATTTCTTAAAAATAGTAATGAAATAATGTATTATATGAAAGTAAATGAAGATAAATTAGTGATATCAGCAACCGCAGGCAGCATACATAAAGTGAATTTCATAAATATTGTTACTATATCTCATGTGTTAGAAAACAAAAATGTAAGTATAAACATTTTCAGTTTCTGCTTGGGGTTACTTTTTATTTCATTTAGATAACAAGCAAATCTAACCCAAAAACCCCAAACCAAACTAAGCACATTAATAAGTATTCAGTGATTGTTGCCTGAATGGATAATGAAAATTTAATTTGCCAATACTGAAGCAATGTGTCTTGTTTTCCAGGTACAATATTTACCGTCCATCCTGTTTTATTCTTGGATAAAATATCAACAATCCGATTCCTTGTTGAAGCCAGTGATGGTGGAGTTCCTGAATTGACAGTTCTTGCCCAGGTGGAAATAGAAATACAAGATACGAACAATTATGCCCCCAAATTTACAGCAGAATTCTACAATCTTAGCTTGAGTGAAGATGCCCTAATTGGAGGCACACTTGTTACATTTTCAACCTCTGACCATGACTGGACCCATGAAAACACATTTGTTGAATATTCCATCATCAGTGGTAATTCCCAGAAACATTTCCACGTGGAAACTAGTGTCATTCATGCAGAGCACACTTACACACAAGTTGGTTATCTTATGTTACTTCACAGTTTGGACAGAGAAGCAGTTGCCAGGCATCAGCTTGTTGTTCTAGCATCTGATCACGGTTGCCCTCCTCTGAGTTCCACCGCCATAATATCTATCGAAGTACTTGATGCTAATGATAATCCACCTACATTCACTCATCTGGAATATCATGCTCATGTCAGGGAAAGTACCCCTTTAGGGAGTCATATCACTGTGGTCTCAGCAACTGACTGTGACATAGGTTCAAATGCCGAAATCAATTACCACTTAATATCTGGAAATGAGAGAGGACATTTTCAACTAGAAGAAAAAACTGGAATTCTCTACTTGATTAAACCTTTGGATTATGAGGAAACAATTAAATTTACTTTAACTGTCCAAGCTTCAGATGAAGAAAAGAAACATTTTTCCTTTGCAGTTGTCTTTGTCAATGTCCTGGATGACAATGACCATACACCTTACTTCATGTACCCTAGAGTCAACTGTGTGGTTCCGGAAAATCTGCCCGTATCATCTACTATATGTTCTGTAAATGCTTTGGATTTTGACACAGGTCCTTTCGGAGAATTGACGTACTCAATTTTATCACCTTGTTTTAACAGTCATGGACAACCTCACGGTCATGATCTCTTCTTCATTGACCCTTTTACTGGAGATATCCATGCTAAGCAAATGCTTGACTATGAACTTGAAGATAAATACTGCATCACAGTTCAGGCAAAAGACAAAGGTGCTTCAACAGCTTCTTTAATGGTGTGGGTGGATATTGAAGGGATAGATGAATTTGAGCCCATTTTCACACAAGATCAGTATTTTTTCAGCCTTCCAAATAAGAATAAAGTAAAACAGTTAGTTGGCAAAGTGGAGGCATCAGATGCTGATGCTGGTATTGATGGAGTTGTTCTTTACTCGCTTGATGCCTCATCTCCTTTCTTTTCTGTAAATAAAACTAATGGAAATATCTATTTGACTAATACCCTTCCTCTGGTAAAAAGTCAAGTCAGCCAAGAAGACACCATTGAAATGAACATAATTGCTCACAGTCCCAAACAGGACTCTAAGTTTGCATCTTGCATTGTTTTTGTGAATGTGTCATTTTCCCCTGAAGGAAAGCACTCTGCAGTATCAGTCATCAGTTTTTCAATCAGCCTTTCCATCTCCTTTCTAGTGTTTCTGTTTCTCGTATTCATTCTTGTTATCCTAGTTCTAAGGCATAAACCAAAATACAGAGCAAACAATTATGAAGAAAAGAAAATCCCATCTCCCTTAGATGTCAGCCTGAGATTGACTGACGATGCCAACATGCTCCAGGGCTTCCAGAAAACGACTGATTGCAGCGATGAGTTGGTTCCCATGGACTATATGCCTAAATGGTTGAGTTTAATAAGCATCATGGAGAAAGACATTGTACATCTGTACAGACATTCCAATTCCAGTGGTCACTGTTCTGTGGAAGCAGAAAGTGCAGAAGATAAGGAGATCCAGAGGATAAATGAGCACCCTTACAGGAAAGACTCTGGCTCAACTTTGAGTGACCAGGATTCTAGAGTGCCAGACTCCGGAATCCCAAGGGATTCAGACCAGCTTTCTTGCTTGTCTGGTGAAACTGACCTGGTGGTCACTGCTGAAACATCAGAAACCCGGCATACATCGGAGGAAGGTGGAGCAGGAGAACGTACCTCAACCTATGGTCAAAATGATGTGTTATCTCATACACTTCAGAGGAGAGGGGTAAAAGAGGACACCCTGGCTGATGCCAGGAAAGAGTACATCTTTGTTTCAGGAGAGCAGGAGGAGAAAGGCACTGTCCTTTCAACCCAGAAAAGCTCTCATCACTTTGTGAGCGGTACCTGGGATCATGTCCTCAGCTGGGAACCCAGGTTTCAACCTCTTGCCTCAGTATTTAATGATATTGCAAAACTGAAGGATGAACATTTGCATATGTCTGGCATTTCCAAAGCAAAGAAATCTTTTGTTTTTCCACCACCTTTGATAACAGCAATAGCTCAGCCTGGAATTAAAGCAGTTCCCCCCAAAATGCCAACTGTAACCTCTGGACAATTACTTCAGAAATACCCACGTTCTCCCATTCTCTGCCCTCTGAGTTCTCTGCCAGAGGTCATGACTCCCAGCTTTTCTCCATCCCTTTCTCTATTAACTGTACAGACTCCTGTCATGTCTCCACTGCTGCCAAATGCAGAGTTATTAGGAACACAACTTAATGGCACGTGCCATGAACAGAAACCAAAAGATGAAGTTAAAATATAAAATGGCAATAATCTTAGGCACCTAATCATGAATGAAAAGACAAACCTCCTCAGACAAGCACCTCAATATTGGGAGGTTCTGATCTAAGAGCCTGTGACATAATTTAGTTTAGGGTTTGTGGAACACACCGACTTATATCTCAGATTTTTCTGGTCTTAAAGAAAAGGGAGCTCTGGTGGCCTAGTGGCAAGAAGCTGTGCTGCAAACTTGAAGGCACACGGTTTGAATCCACGAGCTGCTCTGCAGGAGAAGAATTACCAGTCTCCTCTTGTGCAATTAACTGCCTCTGAAAACCTGCTGGAGGGTCAGCTGTGGATTGGTTCTGACTCAATGGCACACAACAACAACAAAGAAAAGTTACTCTGCTTTTAACCTTTATATTTTGTTCAGGACTCACATTTGCATATATCAAGTAGTCTGTACTATGTGTCATACTCAATTTTCTGTATTATTATTAACTTTTCACAAACACAGTGAACTTTACTGACTGCCAGGCTATTGATGTGAAAATTCAGAATGGTGCTCTCTGATCATGTTACTGCCAGTTAGATAAATTAGCAAAGATTGATTAAGGACTGTGTTTAGGAGGAAAAGTAACAGAGGGAGAACCTAAAAGGATAAACGTAAGTCCTGTAGATCTAAACTCCTGAGAGATACATTTTTTCCCACTTTCCTTATATACCATACTTGTGGAGTTTAATAATGATTTGATGTTCAAGGTGGTGTCTTTGGACAAATCTGATGAGAGATTGAGAATGAAATTTGTCATATGAAGAGGAAAAAACTAAAAATCATTCCTGACTAATGAACCAGAAATACATATTTTGGTGTGACCTATGTAATAGCAATGCATATGTAGCTGACTGCCACCTACAAAAGACCTGTTGGCTTGCCCTTCTTTGCCAGTGAAATGGCAAGGTTTTCAGTACTATGTCATGTCAAAGTGTCTACATTCGTAGACAGTAAACTTTGAAGATTAATTTCTGTAAGTTCTTCATTTTATATTGTTCTGGACAATTATTTTCAGTAAGAAATAATTTATGGAGTCAACATCAGTTTAAAAGTTTTGTGTAAATAAAATTCTGTTAATATCAAATTATAAATTTAGTAGAATAATTTAGCAGTATATTTTCAAGTGAGGATTTTTATATGAATTTTGTTCTTCTGAAAGTTAGCAAAGAATGGGAGTCAGAAGAGTCATCCCTTTTTGGAAGCATATTTAGCGATCATTATGGAGTAGTTTGATGATGTGATGAAAGTCATTCTCTTTTGCACAGCTAGTGGTTTAGAAATAGATTATTGCCCAAGTGTAATGATCCAGACTTCTCGCTCTGAACCTGGAATCCATCAAAAATTCTTATACTTTTTAGGATCCTCCCATAGTAGGCCCATGACCAAGAAATAATTTTCTTTGTGTTTTTCCATTTTGGAAGCAGGAGAGGAATCATGTTGTTGTTGCTATGTGCCGTCGAGTCGCCTGCGACTCATAGCGACCCTATGTACAACAGCCCTAAACTCCGCTCTGTCCTGTGCCAATCGCACTGTCTCCGACACTCCCATCCCAATTATCCCAGTCACTGAATCAATCCACCTCATAGAGGGCCTTCCTCTCCTGCGCCGTCCCTCCACCCTCCCAAGCATGATGTCCCTCTCCAAGGACTAGTCTCTCCTCACTACATGTCCAAAGTAAGTTAGACGGAGCCTCAGAATCCCTGCCTCCAAGGAGCCACCCGGTTTAACCCTCTACAGGACAAATCTATTTGTTTTCCTGTAGTCCATGGAATTCTCAGTACTCTTCTCCAGCACCACAGCTCAAAGGCATCAGTTCTCCTTCTATCCTCCTTGGTCATTGTCCAACTCTCTGATGCATAACAGGTGATTGTGAAGACTATGGCATTATTTATTAAATGATATGAGGTAATTAACTTCTCTTTACTGGAAAACATTTCAGGAAGTAGTCAGTGTTTGGTATCTAGTTTTATAGATGAATTGTTCCAAGACTTGCTGGTCCAGAATTGACAATTAGTTATTGTCATTTGACTCTTGAATTGAAAACAAGTATATAAATCCTTTATGATTCAAAAATTAACTCTGCAGCAGCAACAACAAATAGAATGATATGAACATGAAACTTTTGGACAAGCCTAGAATCCTAGGGAAAGAAGATGAAGTGTGAAATATTTTAACATTATAGACTGATAATATACATATCCACCTCCACCCTTTTCTTCAGGATATCTAGGAAAGAAAATGTCATGACCTAAAAAATACCCAAAACTCCAACTTAAATAATTTCCAGAGTTTCCATATTTATTATCTTTTCAACCCTCCAAAAGACAGCTCTGAGCATATCAAAGAAATATTATAGTAATTTTTTTCTAGATATATATAGAAGTTTTATTTTGCAGCATACTTATAAGAACTAAAGACATTTTCTTTTTATCTGAAATAGTTTCTCCATTTACTTATGTTTAAACACGGTTATCCATGCAGCTCACATCCCTAAATTATTTGTCTGTGATTTATTACACATTCTGGACAAGATTCTGCATTTTTCCTCAAGATGTTTCAAAATAGCAGAAGACATGAATTATTTAAAAACCATTCCTACCAGTATCTAGTGGATTTTTAGTTGGTGACTTTATTAATATTGTATTCAACTCTCCAACACCACAAAACAACTGCTATGAGTTGAAGATTTTAAAAACTGTGAATGTGTGGGCTAGGTGTTTGCAATAAATCATATATCAGCCCTTTCAACTGGAGTGCTCTTTTTTTCCCTAAGTACACAATATAATTTGTACAGTTTTTCTGAAAATGTAAAACTTGCCTCTTCTGTATTACTTTTCTGATCACACACCGGCATTCACACTCTGGAGGGGGTACAGAACTTGTTAGTGGAAAATCATATTAAGGCCCAAATTCATAAGCTATAAAATAAAAGACAGTTGTCTCCTGTGGAATTTTGAATGCCTGAAATTCTGGGCTTTCTTGTTGGCAGCCTTAAAAGTACTGGTGTAAATCAGTACCAAATGGATATCAAAATTCCATGTGCTAGAAGTAATCATTGCATTGGCTTCCAAAACAGATTCCCAAGCAACTGAAGGGATGCTTGCAGAATTTTTAGGGAACTGATCATGTAACCATTTTTTTTTTAAAAAAATCTTATAATGTGTTATAAACTGTAGGCTCCCTAGACATAAGCATATGTACTCCATAATTAATATGTATTTGAGGGAGGAATTGTGTTTCTCAGCATCTTTCTCTTCCTTTTCAGAGCCTGTCATACTGTGCTTTCAGGAATTATAATGATAAAAATTAATTCATAATTTTTATCATTTTTTTTATTTTCCTTCTTACATATGTTCTGTCACTTTTTTTGTCTTCATACATATACCTTAATTTTCAGTAAAATAACAAAAACAGAGGCAGAACTTTATTAAGAGGATCTATGATGATGATATACGTGAAAATAATTAAATATATGGACTGAATCTAGTTCTAGGCAGTTCATTCTCACATGATATTATGGATCACCTTATTAAATTTGTTACCACAGTGTGTTTGTTGAGCTCAAAAATGTTATATAATGGGTTTGTTTATCACTGAGGAAAGTTAAAATCTATGGGAGTGGGATACCAGAACCTGTGTAGTTATGGAAACTTCCATTTATGACCAAACCCAGTGTCTGAGGGAGAATCATTCTGGGTTTCTTCTTTTTTTCTCAGTATAAAAGAGACAGGAAAGAAATGAAGCTAAAATAAAGGATTGAATATGGAAAAATTGTTTAAAGTGTATATAGAAAAATAGGAAAAAATAACAGTAAGAACTTATCACAGAAATTTTTCATGAGTAAAGATTATGTTGAGTCATTTGCTCGTAGTAGATAATTTGGAGGAGTCTTTTTTCTTTATTTCTGTTCCTCGCAAATCTCTCCCTTGTTATTTGGCTATCTGCCTTCATCATGTTGTGAACATAAGGCTCAGTGACCATGGTCTAGAATATATTTGACCATTAAAACCTGATTTGATTAGATTATCCCATTGAATTTTAGGAAGAAATAGATAGAAATTACTATCTTATTTTCCTTGCTACATACCTGCCATTGAAAGTGACACAATTTTAAGTAAATGTCCTTGCACATATATCAAGCAGCAGAAGTTCATGTAGAACATCAGGCTTGGCAAAATAGAGGATCAACAAGAAAGATACCTGCAATGACAGGGATTGACACAGTGACCATGACGGTGAGCTGATGCTGATGCACAACAAAGGTTGTGAGGAGGGTGCAAGGCCAGGCCGTGTCTCGTCTTACACATTAGGCTACTGAAAGACAAGACATTGGTTTTTCCCTCCGCCCTTCTACTAGCTAGTTTTTTGTTTGTATTAAATGAATGTTTATGTTAGTGTTCTTTTATATTTAAAAATGATGTATAAGTTTTAAAACTAAAGTACAATCCAGAGCAACTAAGGTTTAGCCCGTGATGATTTCTCAAGCATTGTCAATTGGATTACAGTGATCATTTATATAAAATTCCATATAAATTGAGGACATTTGAGTATTAATAAACAGAATTGTGGAAATTTTAGATAACTTTGGCCTCTAGTAATTGGAATCTACCTTTCTCATATAAACCCGCCACTTGGCTATTTTGATGACAATTAGCACTTCCTACTGTTTTGGTCCACATTAACTTTCCTCATTTCACCCAGTACACTTGCTAAACCAAAACTGTGAAGTGAGTAATAGGGTGAAAGCATGCCAAATAAATAGCAGATGCACAAGCACATCTCTAAAATAAAGTATTATTTTGGTTAAAAATTTAAGTAAGTGGATTTCGTTGTTAGATAGTAAACCCTCAGGGCAAAGTCCTGGTCTCCACTTGTATTATGAAGTGCAGATGGCTTTCCGAATGAATGAGTACATGTGTGAATGGGCCCAGAGGGTGCCGTTATGTGAGGGTGTGACACACAGGCCTTGAAACCATTAAGTGAGAATT